GATTTTCTACCAGTATCTGCTTAGACTCCTGGAAATGGGGGCAGAAATCGAGGAGAGGCCACAACAGGCGGTCTACTACAGAAGGCAGGACTGGATTTGGGGATTGGATCGAGGGCAGAGGAGTTAGAGTGAAGATCTAAAGCTCACCTACCTGCTTTCTGCTTCTCTGTCAGGCTTGCCTTGAGGGCGATCTCTTACATAGAATAAACAAAAATCCTTGCTAAATATGTGTTTTCCCTTTTAGGAAGAAATTATTAATATATTTAGCCTACTTTTCTATAGTCTTTTGTTTTTGTTAATATTCACTGTTTCATTAATATTTTGTTTTTGTTAATAATAATAATCATGGACTTGCCATTTTGGGGCACTACTGTTTTTGACTTTGGTATTTTGAATTTTTTTTTGGTACAGGTTTTTTTTGTTGTGTATCCATGGCTGTCCTGAGACTAGCTCTGTAGACCTGACTGATCTTGAACTCAGAGATCCACTTGCCTCTGCCTCCCAAGTGCTGGTATTAAAAGTGTGTGCCACCATCACCTATCAGTGTTTTGTAATTCTTATCAGGGACATTTACATTTATCACTGTTATAGTTTCTGGATAAACTAACCTCTATAATGATATTATAGCTGGTATTTTTTACCTGGAAATTACAGTCATATTAATATAGTGATTCTTGTTTTCAAGGCCATCATAACATGCTATGATTTTTCTATCACATCACTTTAATTATTCTTATATATTTATCTTTACACTGAATTTCTTATGGCTAATCTAAGACTGTGTTTTACAGTGTCATTCAACATGATAATTTCTTTCTTTCAAGTAGGTTGTTTAGATTAATTTACAGTTAATAATATTATAGACATATTAAGAGAATGATTGAGCATCTTTTCTTTGTAATGTCCCAAACCAAAGATTATCCAAACTATATTAATTTAAAAGTTAAAACTTAACAATTTCAGAACAGCAATATCAGAGCCACAGATTTCTGAGTTTGCATATTTAATATTAGATTCTTTCTCTGAATTTTTAAAATTTACTTTTGTTATTGAAAATAGATTTTTGTTTTGTCAAGTAATATATCCCGATTATAGTTTCCTCTCCCTTTATTCCTCCCAGTTTCTCCCTTCCTCCCTATGCCATCTGAGTCATTTCTCGTTCTGTCTCTCATTAGAAAAAGAAATAGGCAGGTAGTGGTGCGCATGCCTTTAATCCCAGCACCCTGGAGGCAGAGGCAGGTGAATCTCTGTGATTTTGAGGCCAGCCTTGTCTACAAGAGCTAGTTCCAGGACAGACTCTAAAGTTACAGAGCAACCCTGTCTCAAAAAAACAAAACAAAACAAAACAAACAAAAACAAACAAACACACAAACAAAAAACAAAAAAAAGGAAAGAAAGAAAAGAAAAAGGCTTCCCAGGACCATTGATGTGAGAGTCCCATGCAGCTGTCTGAGGCCTTGTAGATGTTCATGGTCCATGCTGCCACCAAGAACCATGTTTTTCTTCATGGTCCTATCCAAGCCAGGGACTGTGTTGGTATCTGAGGTCTGTGATACCACCAAAGGCCATGCAGATAGATGTCTGTGGTCTGTGCTGCCACCTGAAGCCATGTTGATGTCCGTGGTCTATTGTAAGGAGCACAGGGTCCTTTATTCCATCCCGCCCAGATAGCTTACACCTGAAATAATCACACTGAAATTGTATTAAATTACTGCTTGGCCCATAAGCTCTAGCCTCTTATTGACTAACTCTTATAGCTTGATTCAACCTATTTCTAATAATCTGTATGTCATCACGAGGTCATAGCTTACTGGGAGAGATTCAGCATGTCTGACCTGGCAGCTTCATGGTGTCTCTCCATCTGACTGCTTTCTTCCTTCCAGAATTCAGTTCTCTTTTCCACGCCTACCTAAGCTCTCCCCTATCAAAAGGCCAAGGCAGTTTCTTTATTCAACCAATTAAAGCAGCACAAATACAGAAGAACCTCCTACACCAGTGGTTCATTCTTACTATTTGCTTTTCACTTGTTCCATCTTTCTTTGATTTTCCTCCTATCTTTTTGACTTTTTTAGGTTACATTTTATGATCTCATTTTATATTCTTTGCAGGTATATTAGCTATAATTCCCTATTTTGTTACTTTACTGTTTCCTTCAGGGATTTTTACAATACATATCTTTTGACCTATCACCATCAAATGATAGTATACCACTTCATGTATAACTCAAACTTCTAAACTACAGCTGGTTCCTATTTCTCCTTTTCTAGTTTCCATGCTAATGTTGAAATACCATTCGCACCTATATATGTTAGAACCCTTACAAAAGCCTGAGTCATTATTCACTCAGTGCCTCTAAACCACTCTCTGCACTTTGTCTTCTTACTTCCTGTGAGAAGAATATTGCATTTAAAATATATTTCCTCATTTAATCCAAGAGTTATAGGTATTTAAAACATGGTTAAGTGTATATGATCCACAAGGGAGTGTCAGTCTTCCTTGTCACTAAAAGACAGGCATGGTTTCAGACCAGACACACTGCATTAGTGGAAACTGAATTATTAATGTCATCCAATCAGCAGCTTGTGTGTTGGAGCTCTAGCAAATGCTACCCACTCTCTGTTCCTGCCAAAGCTCCCACTGCTAATTCTCAGTTCAAAGCTTATTTTCTCATAGATGCACTCTATGTTTTGACATGTCTCATCTATATCATGTGTATAGAATGAACTGGTTTTCCTTAGGATCTTTTCTTCTATGAAATAGTCAAAGCTACTTTGAGTCATGTTAGAAAGACCATGTCTCAGAAATGTACCTTTTAGCCTATATACACGTGGAGTGCTGTGGTATTGGTTAGTCTTTCTCATTATTCCAATACATTATGACTAAGATCAGAAATATCTGGTGGAAAGACCTGAACTTTAAAGATCCAGATACAAATGGCACAGTTACTACTAATGATGATGATCTTAAGAAAATATTAGCAATGGGAGCCTAACCTTTGTTGGTACACGATTCATGAGCTGTTGGTTAAACACAGCCAATATTAAAAAGTAAGTTACATAAACTCATAAGTATGTAATTCATATTAAAGCTAAGTCAATAAATACCATAAGTCATGACTTGTATTTTACTATTACTTATGCTGTGGATGGTCTGTGGCTTCCTTTGCATGGAGAAGTTTAATGTGTATTCTACTGCTCATTTTTCCAATTGTGCATTGCGTGGTACCATGTAGATTGCTTGAAACTGGCATAACTAAGGAACTCCATGAGAGCCCGGAATGAGTTCCCACAACATTTGCCCATGAGAGATCTCACAATTTTGTCAGGTTGCAACCATAGGAGGCTATAGACATAAGAATTTGACAAAATGAAAACATTCTATCAAAACAAGTTGGTGACCGGAAACTTCCTGTGAGGGACACTGTGTGTTATTATTTGTGAAGCGTATGGATACTCCATTCATGATATGCTTCCTCTTGTTTCTAAGCACAGCCAACAACAACATATTAACCAGCACCACACTGCTTAAATTCTCTCAAAATAAGACTCTTCATTTATTAAGCCAAGAGGTCAATCCATAAGAATGATACTAGAAATTTTTATGTTCATGTTTGTGCCTATTACACACTAGAACAAAACACCAGCAGCCTTTTACCCACCCCAAGTCCACAGATGGACACGACAGGGTTGACACTGGAGTCTTTGTGTAGTTATCAGTACCCTACCTTGATATGTCCAGTCGCTTTTGCTTTGGTCAGACTCCCCGCTTTAGTGGTTCTTCTGTCTCCTCTTAGTCACCTCCCATCATTTCTTCTATTAGCAATGCTCTCCTTTTGACAGGCTGGACACTATGGTTGATTTTGTTAGAGTTGTTCACAGAATATGAGTCCATAGATTCCCAGTGAGGACCTTGTCACTGCTACTGCCGACTACACTCTAGCTGTTAACTCTTTCTTAGGGAGATATTACGATAAAATATTCTAGGTTTGTAAGAGGACACATCCACCCATGCATCTTCCATCTTGTTTAAGGAGAAACACATAGGGAATAAATACTCTTGAAGGTCCTTGTATTTCTCTCTAATTCCACTTCCCCTTTCCACATCTAAGCAGTAACCTAAATCCATCATTTCTAGATACGTGCTAGACTCAGGTTTCATAGCTTGTTTTACAGACACTTAAATATACAAAACATAATTACCCTGTTATATATATTCTTAAATAAATAGATTTCATACTTTAGATCAATTTTAGGTTTATAGCATTACCAAGCAGAAAGAAGCCTCCTCTGACTTTAGTTCACACTTGGACAATAAATTTTCATTTGTCTTTCCTGCATTTCTGTTAAGGCCAGGGCCTTTACATTAGCGGGTTTACAACTGGCAATTGGAACTGGGTAAGTCCCTCAACAATGTGCACAGCGTAGTCCTCTCGAGAATCTCCTTCACTAGGCATAGTGCTCGGTACAAACCATCTACTGAATCAAGAGAAATACAAACAAAACTTCTTTCAAATACTCGTATCCACAGTGGAAACCTCCTTGTGTCTTCCCACATACAACAGTCTGAACCATTAAAGATGTCCCTGTCAGAAGAAAGGGGAATGGGTTTAAGTGTAGCCAGCAGAGATAAGGCAGAGCATGATTGCCAGTCAACACCAGGAGTAATGCTCTCAAGGCAGCAAAGCTCGGAACTCAAAGCCATTCGTAAGCTGGGGGCTGCCTCTGTTTACCGGCTGAGAGGGTTTTAGATAATGAACCATGAAAGCCCGCTATGCAACAGCACCATGCAATACGTTTTCACTTGCTGCTAGTCAGCTTCAGAGATCAAGGACGGTTAAACACATAACCCACTCATGCATGTTATTTTAAAGGCACATTTTAAAGTTGTAAATATGGTACATTGAGTTAATGAGATATCTTCCTTTAGTGACAAATATTTACCTTCCACATACGCCTCTCGATGTCAAGACACCATTTCTTTTTTTTCTCCCCTTTTCTCAGGAGGCTGGGATGCAGATGGAAGAGGCCCTTGTGTCTGGGACACATTCACCCATCAGGGAGGAGAGCGAGTTTTTGAGAACCAGACTGGTGATGTAGCTTGTGGCAGCTACACTCTGTGGGAAGAAGATTTGAAATGTATCAAACAGCTTGGATTGACTCATTACCGCTTCTCTCTTTCCTGGTCACGTCTGTTACCTGATGGGACGACAGGTTTCATCAACCAGAAAGGCAAGTGTTTCTTAAAAATAGAAGGTTGCAGCTTTAATTCAAGGTTATTGCTGAAGTCTGGCATAATTAATCCGGCATGCTGTTCTGCAGGGCAGCTTTGAAATCACAAGTTTTCAGAGTGATTATAGGATACAGTTTTTGAAATGGGTTTGCATTAGCTTTCTCAATAATATTTTGGTTTGCCTGGGCTGTTGAACACCTCTTTGGAGGAAGGAGGGGTAGATGGGTAGGAAAAAGCCTGGAATAAGGGTCGTATTTATGAAATGTATTTATGAAAGATGATTTCTCAGTGAAGGTGAATTTCCAAAAAAACCCTGCTGTATTAAACTACTTTTCCAGTATTTCACACATGAGGAATTATGAGGGCCCCAAGAAATCTGAAAGTCTTGGGAGAATTTCACCTGCACTGAGTCCCCAATGAGAGCATAGGGCTTAGTTCCCAGAAACTAAGTTCTCACTTAGTTGAGATAAATTGTGAAGCATCAGGTACATCACATGCTGTGTGTAACAGTTCCATTCGACATTACTCAGTGACTCAGTTTCTCCAAGAGTAGAAAAGAATGCTATAAAAGTTTATACCTCAGAGAATTATTAAAGATTACATGAAATAATTTTGTGATTCACATAGTACCTGACATGTCATAAACACTTATTAAATGCTAACTATTCTTCTTATAATGCACAAATAAAAGAAACATTTACTTATGCATTGGATGCCTTACTTAGGCACTTTCAAACATATTTTCTCTCATTCACAAACGAATAAGGAAGTCATCATGACCATATCTTATAGATGTGGATATCCAAGTCCACAAATTTGGCAAATAGATCCAAAGTCTAAACTTAAGATCTAGCTACACTTTATATAAATAGCCTTGGAAACTTGGCCTGGGGACCAAATCTGGCCCACCACCTGCTTTTGTAAATAAAGTTTTACTGGAGCACAGCCATGACCATTCTTTACACACCATCTATAGTTGCTTCCCTACTGCAATGGCAAAAGTGAGTAGTTGGGGTGGAGAGCATATGGCCTACAAAGTCCAAGATATTAACGATCTAGTTCATCGTAGGAAATGTTTGCCAACCCCATATTCTACAACATATGGTTCCTAAATACACATCATTTATTATTAGTTGGTCCCAGAAAAGAGTTCCTACAACTCTGAGAAGTACTAGATCAGGCAAATGAAATGCACTGCGTGTAAAATTTAGGGAGCATCTCATAAACACAGGATGGGCAATTGCATGACCTAAGAGTGGCTCCCTTCCCTACATCACCAAGCATTACACATTCCCAGTACCTTCATGATGCCATGGGACTCATATGTGTAAGTTACACAAATCCCTAAATGCAACAACTCATTGTGCTAGCTCCTGCCTGTGCTTGTGAATTTGCGGTGTTTCTCTCATACAAGGCTGGCAATTTCCTCCAATGTGAAATGTATCAATAACCATGGAGGCTTATATGATGCTAAGGACTTTAAGTTTGGAGTTCCCCAAATAGGGATAACCAAGATAAGTAAGTCCATTAATGAATTCAGGAGACAGTAACCAAAATGAGGGCCATTGATTGAATGTAGAATTATTGTACATATTTTTTTTTGACTTTGAACAATAGGTGATGTGTTGTCCACTTTAAAGATAAACCCATAATTTCCTGTCTTCATCACCCAACGTCTCTACCTTCTTTTTTCTTTGGTACCATGGTACCTCAAGCTCTGACAATTGACTCTGAATGGGTTCAGTGTCTTGCTTCTTTCATCTCACTGGTTGCCAGTTGTAGTTGGCGACCTTTGTGCCTTGTCAGATGTTGCAGATGTTAGTCTTCTTCCTTGCTCAGCATTTTCCCAGCCCTCACCTGTTTATTACTCTCAACGAGGACTTTTTGATATACACTAACCTTTTTGCCTGCCTTCTCCCTTTCTGTCCTCTGATCTTCTTTCCTATAAATACTACACATCAACTTTCCTAAAACTTGGTCTAACTCATAGTAGGCTGGGTCATCTCTTGCTAAAATAGAGATTTAAAAATGTACTTCATTCTTTCAAGGCTCAACAAGGAACTTAGTCTTAACTCACTTCTGAAGCCTTCTAAAATGCCATTTTCCCTTGTGTATATGTGTTCAATTTCCTAAACACATAAGTTACCACTTATTAAACATACTATGCACCTTTCACATTGAAGGAATTTGCTGACACTCTACTTCATGGTTAGAGTGGTCATTCCTTAACCCCAATTACATCTGATTAAGGCCTAACCTGTTCAGGCTGAGTATAAATGGTTCCTTTGCTCTAAAATATCCATCTGTTGAAAACAGAAAATTTCTGGTTTCTTTCCCCCCCCCTTTTTTTTCTTTATTTGAAGACAGGGTTTCTCTGTGTTGCTTTGGAGATTGTTCTGAAACTAGCTCTTGTAGACCAGGATGGCCTCGAACTCACAAAGATCCACCTGCTTCTGCCTCCCAAGTGCTGGGATTAAAGGCATGTGCCACCACTGCCTGGCAAAAACAGAAAATTTCTTATCTATCTATCTATCTATCTATCTATCTATCTATCTATCTATCTAT